TTCATTCTTCTCAGGTTGTTGATAAACCCGCTTCTGTTAGAATATCACCACTCCTGACTTCTCGACACCTTTTACAAAGGCGGGTCAAGCTACCTGCAATAAAGTATCGTCCTGGCGATGATGGTCCAAAGGCATGTTTACTGTTTTCTGAAATTTTGGCTTGGTCTTGAATTCAATTGCAGTCTTTACTTTTGATACTGAGATTCTTTTCTAATTATTTGTTTCTTAAATGTCTTCTCAGGTTCCATTCTTCAGTGATGAAGAGAACTCCAATACACCAAAGGCGGATGCCCTTTTCATACCAAGGGAAAACCCTAGAGCTTTGTTTATACGCCCAGTTGCAAAGGAAAAGTCAGCACCGCCAAAGGATAGCGCGACCCCGTTTCAGGAGAATGGTAAGCTTGCTTATTTACCCTTGGCTTATTTATTGCAGGCTTGGAGCCTAGTTTTCAGTGGCAAAAAAGGCTTTGAAAACATTTTTCCTAGACATTGCTCCAATAGTTTATCTTAGACAAGAAGTGAGGAGTTTTCACGTACAAAATCAAATATAATGCTACGTGTCTGTATCTGAACTCTCCAAGGATACCTGGACTCGTAAAATGACCCACTTGCATTTTAATCTAGCAGCAGATGAATTTGACTGTAACTCCTTTGTACATGTGACTTTCAGGTAAAAGTTCGAATGGGGTTACTAATGAAGCTAACCGTGAGAGTAAGTATTTAAAATATGCATATGTATCAAAACAGTTATTCACGTTTGTGCTTTTGGGAATCATTCTCTGACTTTCATATTAATAGCTGCAGTTAAGAATAACAGTGAAGTTCGTGATGTTCCTCCAGTCAAAGCCAATCAAAAATCAAACGGGAGACATGATCAAAATCATGGAGGCGACAAAAACGGTTCAAACAGTTCACCAAGTAGAGCAGATATTGAATCAGTTATGCCAAAGCTGCATCACTCTGAGTACTTCACTGAACCTCGGATCCAAGAACTAGCTACGAAGGAAAGGGTTAATCCAGGTCATTGCAAGCGGGTAAGGGACTTTGTTGTTGGGAGACACGGTTACGGCAGTATAAAGTTTCTAGGAGAGACGGATGTTCGTAAACTGGACCTGGAGATGCTGGTTCAGTTCAATAACCGGGAAGTGATTGTGTACATGGACGAGAGCCAGAAACCGCCAGTTGGTGAAGGACTGAACAAGCCTGCGGAAGTGACTTTGCTGAACATAAAATGTATGGACAAGAAAAGCGGGAAACAAGTGACGGAAGGATCGAGGTTGGACAAGTATAAGGAAATGCTCAAGAGGAAAGCTGAGGAACAAGGAGCTCAGTTTGTGTTTTATGATGCTGTGAATGGCGAGTGGAAGTTTAGGGTCGAGCATTTCAGTTCCTACAAGCTTGGAGAGGAAGATGATGTGTAGAAAGATCCAAAGTCTTTAATAGTCTCTTGTTCTTTTGGTTATTTTGTTTTGGAGTTTGTCTATTAGTCTGTCTTCACTATATAATGTGAAAATGATTAGTCTTTTGCTCTCTCCTTTCTTTTATCAATTTACCTCAACATCTCTTTTCTCTCCCTTATATCCGTCTAATTACGAAATTTGCGTTCGTTCTTGATTTGATAAAATATACGGAAGCTATGGGTTTTAGTGATTCTTACTCTAACGGTGGTTTCAGAATCTTGGTTTTGGTCTGTTAAACTTCTTTTAACAAAATAATGAAAATGTAGAAAATATTTTGCATGTTTTGTTGTTTTCGCAAATAAATAATTCCAAGTAAAGAAGCAGACAAAAGAAGAGACGTGAAGGAACACAAAACTTCCCTCACCCACTAACTAATATCGTCTTTTTTGGTCTACTACTTCATTGATTTATGTAGCCCGAATAAAAAGAAATTATGGGAGAGTCAGAAGAAGTGAAACTGTTGGGAACATGGTACAGTCCCGTGGTGTTAAGAGCAAAGATCGCTCTTCGTCTCAAATCGATCGATTATGTTTACGTTGAAGAAGATCTATTCAGTTCCAAGAGTGAGCTTCTTCTCAAATCGAACCCGATTTACAAGAAAGTCCCGGTTCTCATCCACAACAACAAACCGGTCTCCGAGTCTCTCAACATCGTTGAGTACATCGATGAGACCTGGAACTCATCTGGACCGTCCATTCTTCCTTCCCATCCCTATGATCGTGCTCTTGCTCGCTTCTGGTCTGCCTTCGTCGATTACAAGGTCTGCTCAAAAGTATACTTTGAATTAACATTTTATCAAAAAGAAAAGTGTATACTTTGGACTTTTTAACTATCTCTTCTTCACATTATTGTGATTGTGTTAGTTAGGAAACTTAGGCTAAATGAAATCAATTTCTACACCAGTCTGCAGTCTACATAACTTATGTAACATAAGTGTATTTTCAAAACAGAGTATAAAGAATCTTATAACGCTATGACAACTCAAGTATTTTTTTCTAAACTCTGTTTTAAAAGTGCAGTGGTTTCCAACTTTGATTGCTGCTACACTCACCAAATCAGAAGACGCCAAAGCGAAACGTATGGAAGAAGTGGGAGAAGGGCTGTTGCTACTCGAGGATGCGTTTGTTTCTATAAGCAAAGGGAAACCGTTTTTTGGTGGTGAAGCGATCGGGTTTATGGACATATGCCTTGGAAGCTTTTTGGTTTTCTTGAAAGCTAGAGAGAGGCTTAAAGGAGAAAAATCCTTAGACGAATCAAAAACTCCTTTTATTTGTAAATGGGTCGATGATTTCTTGTCCGATGATACCGTAAAGAATATTGTACCGCAGATTGATAAAGTCGCCAAGTTTATAGGAGAGTTTGAAGCTAAAACTCAATCAGCGGCTTCAAAATCATAAAGATCATCTTAGAAATGTACTTGCAATGCAAGTGTATACCTATGAAGAAAATAAGGTAAAGTTTGAAATGTTGTGTGATGCAGATGTAAAGTAGAAGAGATTCCTTTCCTTGGGGTGAGTCGAATAAGTCTGATTCTTCTCAAGATCTTATTTGCTCTTGATGCAGTGATCTGGTACGTGTGCACCCGCAGCCAGCAGCACTGGACAAACATGTTTCAAGAACAACTGAATGCGCGGTGAAAATTATAGCGAGACTTAGATTTCCTCTGTTTCCTGTATCGTTATTGTCTATGTTACTTGTACTTTGGTTAGTCCCAGATATCCCTGGTTTGAATTGTATCCTATCATCTGATTCTTGTCTCAGAAGATCATGTCTTATTTGTAATTCACTACAAGGTGCTGTTCGTTTGGTGTGCCAGCAACTGTTTCTGGATGCCGATTCCAGTTACCGTTCGTTTAATGACAATTAATTACATAAACTGATTACTGTATCTGGATGCACATTTAATACTTATCTGAAAAAACCAGAAATTTCGGATGCGTTTAATATCAGAGTCGAGATGCACCAATTCTCATCCAAAGTTGTAAACGTCTAAAATAACCCCATATAAATTCAATAACTACAATATACCCTACCCCTAAATTATATCGACACAAAACCAAGTTTTCAAATCATAAACCCTAAATTCTCAAATCACCATGGATTCGACGTAGAATCTCTGTCTTGCCATATCTTCGATCGATTCCCAGGAGGAAGAAGCTCGATTTCTCAACGAAGAAGCTCCCAATTTG